TCATTAAATAAAGTTATATTATTATTATTATTATTATTATTATTATTATTATTATTATTATTATTATTATTATTGGATAGACTCTTGGTCTTGCTTTGTTGATTTCATCTTGGTTGCGACCGCTAGATGTTGATGAGGAAATGTTGGATACTAGGTGTTTGTAGTGACTATTTCTATATGCAGCTATCTTTCCTTAGCATACATGCAACACACATTTGAGGACAAAATCCAGGATTTTACTTGCAGAGGTTGTGGGTAAGCCCACCAGTCCCTCTAAATCAGGTCCCATAAGATGACAATATGTATTTAAACCTTGTCACTAATAGCCAATGGAAAGGCACCAATACTCCATTTTACAGTTCCGTTTGAGTGACCACGAATAATAGTTGCAAGTCGAGGCTGCAGTTTCTGCGCATAGCAAAACTATACTTTTTATCATGCGCGGAAACTCCAGCCTCAGCTTGGAACGGAACTGTTAAATGGAGTATTGGCATGCAAAATTGAATTATTGCAATTGGTTAAAATTATTGATTTTCCATTGAAAAGATAATGTCAATAATATAGTAACTGTTTTTATGATACTTGCATTATTTTCAATGTTGTATTAAAACTTCAACCCACAGACAAGAATGATGTTCTGCTGGAGAAGCCCAAGAAGAAGCCCAAAACACCGGGCCTAAAAGAAGGATTTCCTCTCCCAGACAATGGTACTTGCAAACACTACAAGAAGAGTCACCGTTGGCTGAGGTAAAGCGAAATCTGAGCTCACCTAATCTCAGAAATTTTCCTATTTTCACGAAACCCCCAGACTCGGAAAAACAGTCTAGATAGCTGCTAAGAGTTGCTGGAAGTTCTAGACTTGGGAAGCTTTATAAATCTTTTCTGGGTTGTCTGCATTACTCCATTACTCTCCGTGCGGGATATTGAATAATAAGACCATCTTCTACTCTACTTTACTTTACCAGACCTTAAGACTGTGTTACCCACCTTATTTTGGCTTCGGCGCTTCGTTTAACTTCTATCTCTTTTTCACCGTAGATTTCCATGTTGTGGAAAGTGTTACCCATGTGACATTTGTCATGAAGAACACGAAGACCACGAGATGAAATTTGCTAACAGAATGGTCTGTGGATTCTGCTCCAAAGAACAGGTAAAAAGCTATAGGTGTCTTAGCAGGTCACGTGAAGGTTTCCCGCCATTTTTTCTAACGTTACAGACTAGCTTCATAATTATCTAAAACTGTCTTTGGCAATTTGTTGTCTATATGAAGTTAATAGCACTATCAAGGAATTCATTTATGCGGTCTTCTTGAAATAACCTAAATATAACCAGAAATATCTCATGTGACACAACATGTCGTCGCCGAGAAGGGAAAAAACATCCTAAAACGCAAAAAAGTGTCATGATAATTGTAAGGTTCTTCTTTTTTCCATTCAGCCGTATTCACAAAACCCGTGCGTTGCATGCAATTCTTCTACGACAAAAGCAAAGACATCGCACTGGGAAGGAGGCAGAGGATGTCGTAACAAGACACTCATGAGCAAGTAAGTACAATTAACTAACTAAACAGTACGCCTGTCGCAGAAAGAATATCTGGTTTAAATATAGCCTCTTTCAAACCTATGACAAGGCTTTAGTTCTTACGTAAAGTATGATAGTCCAGTTTCCAATTCTTCGTTGTTCAGAGTTCACCTCGATTTTGCATATTATGATACACTCAACAAAATTACTCGATTCTGATTGGACAAGAGGAGTACAATTAAATTCCAAATTGTACTCTGTAGAGTCCCAATTAAGTTGCTCAATTTTGTTGAGTGTATTATAAACAAAAAATCGCACAATCTTCTCGTACAATTCGGAATTTATAGATACCCGCCTAAAGGCTTGTCTAATCTAGAAAACTTTCAATACATCACTCGTACCTATAAATTCCGAATTGTACTCGAGAGATCGTGCGATTTCCTATACAAATATGCATGTGTTCCAGCGAAGGTCCGTGGAATTTCAGCGTTTGTATTCTTGAAGTCAGTTGCACATTCTTCACTTTACCGTTGGTATTTGTGTGAATATTTTGACACTGAAATAAATGAATCAGTAATCAAGAAACACAGCGTTACTATAAGAACTAGAAAAAGATATAATGCAAAGTAAAGGAAGAAGTAACGATAATTTATCTTTGGGATTTTAGGGGAGATGACAAAAAGTTTAAGAATACAATGAAGACCACTTCACGAAAAGCACAAGCCAAAGAAACCCCGAAGGCTAAACCAAAATAATCTTGTAAATCAAAAAATGAAAGTATAGAGGTAAACTACAACGTAAAACTTGAAGGTTGATGAAAAATTTTTCGATAACATTTGGTTGTCATTTTTCATGACATTATGTGACGGATATCATTAATGAAAACCGCCACGACTTAGATGATCACTTTGCTTGACGATTCTTCCACTCAGGCAACTCCAGACACATTTCATCTGATGTCTTGGTTAACGTCAATCTAACTTACTAAAGAATTCATTGGAATATTACCAAGGTCTATTAATGCAACGTCTGAAGCTGTCGATTAAGTTGGCAGAAACGCGCGGCAACTCTAATATATTTTTGTAAAAGAAACGTGAATGAAAATAAATGATATTATATTTTGAGAAAACAAGAGTAGTACTCTCCCGCGCCGTGGGGCCCTAGAACCATACTACCCTTACGTTGGATTGCATGCAACTCGTTGCGCTGCCATTGCAACGATAGATACTTCTAAGAAGTGTAAAACCGTTTGTCAGGTAAACTATGCTACTGCAGTCACATCACACATGCTCTCTTAATACCGTCACAAAAAAATATTTACCAAACAAAGTTGGCCTCTGAACAAAGCCCTCAAGATCATTGCACAGTTTTAGTAGGCATATTCGTCCAACTCAAGTTCTTTCTCGGCCATTTCATTATTTCTTTTCATTCTTGTCAACTCTACGAGTTCTTTCTTCTGGCATTCGATGACTTTATTGAGAGCCACGAGGTCCTTGGCCATATCAATGCTTTTAGCCTTCAGCCTCTCTACCTCATTCTCCAACCTCAGCGATGCCTCTGTACTCTCTGCCTTGATTTTCTCAGCCTCCTTCACTACGCCCGCCAAATATTTGTTGCCATGGTTACGCGAAGGTGTGCTCACTCTTGGAGACTGGTAACCGCTGTCATTTCCGCTGCGACGCGTTTGGGGAGGTGTATTCCATATTTCCTCGAGTTTTTCCCGCGCTTTTTGCTGTAAGTGGTCGGTTTCGTAAAGATAGTCGGTAAGGTCGTCCTGGATTTCTTGTAGACTTCGGATTTCTGCTCTGCTGTACACGTCACGCAAACGTTTTGCTATGTCTAACGACCTGAAAGATAAGAATTTGTCATTAAACGAAGAACGGTCACATTTTTGCCTGGATTCGTGCCTGGATCTGCTTTGGCTTCCGACAATCGAAAAATCCTAAATCAGACCGTTGAAAATTCGTTTCACGGAATAATTAAAGCTAGCTGTGTGGAGAGCTTTGACAAATCTAAAAAAATATGAATCCGACCAATTGAAGATGTTTTGGAGGTTTCGGAATTTTCTGGAAGACAAAACTCGGGCTCGGGGACGAAGTATAATAAAACTTGAGACATCAGGAGAAAAGGTTTAATGATATCTCCGCGGCAAACTAGTTACAAACGTTTTTTAGAAACTATATTCAAATCCCACCTGCCAATCGAGCTATGCAGTATCTGAAGCTGGTTCCTCCATTCCAAAAAATACAACAATTTTTCGTCTAAAGCCATCTGTTCTGGATCGGGAAACGATTGTTCATTCTTCTCGGTAAGAAGACTGTCTTCTACCATATCTCTGAGCTCTTCTAACTCGTGAGCCAGCCTTTCTCGTGGACGGCGTCTGCTACGGCGACGTCCATTTCTGGGTCTTTTTTGGCCATCGAGCCAGGATCTTAGAACTGCTTCTGTTACTTTGGTCTCCTYGTGGATGCTAAGATAATCATCCAATACTGGACACCGGTGTCCATGGAAATAAGTAGAATCCAAATTCATTATGTGGAAACTAAAGTTGTGTGATTCAAGATTCAAAGAGGAAGCCTTTGCCTTTGCTCTTCGCAACCATGTATTTCAATGTATGTCATAAGTATCAAATCTTCAGTCGAAAACTTTGCAATGGAGAGATTTTGAGGTTTTCATAATGTTTGAAAAATCCTTGTTAAATGCGTTTATAACATTATTTATTCATAACTCACTACTTTTGAGCCAATAATAATTATTCTTTGACCTTCTCYTCCATAATAACGATTTTGAAGTCTCTAATTTGTGGTTAGTTACAATACAGGTGCAGTTCTAATGACAGATTTCAAACCATTCAAAGCATTTCATTACTGTACTATTATTGATCAGATAAATGATACCAAAACAAGTACTATCATCACTAAATATCTTTCCATTACTATCCATTTTAAAAATTATTTTCCTATAGTTTTGAAAGCATACTTTGTGGAATGGAAACTATACACTACCAATCCGTGAAATCCTTGGATAACTTTACAACTATACTTCATTTAATTTATAACCATATCATTACTCTATAACCATCTAAAATATCCGTTAGCTTCATCCAAATTTTACAGTTCCTGGAATTGTTTTTGTAATCCAATTATTTCCAAACTGTGCAGCACAGGCCAGTCCTATTACCTATTTCATTGCTTATAGTTTGTTTTGGGCGGCTCAGTTTCTCCAACTTAACCGCTGACAGCAGAAAAATACTGCAAGATGACATTACATCATAGCTCTAGGTGGCTTTATTTATTCTTGATTAGATATTTTGCTTGTCATGCTGAAAAGCCATTTTCCCTGGTATAGCACGGTTGTTGCTTTCCATAGCTGAGTTTCTCTCGTTCATCAGTGTCACTGGCCTGACACGAAAATAGAAGCCGTACGAATAACAATATTCTCGAGAGTCAGTTGTAACCTTTCCAAGCATATGTATTTACGACTCCTTGTTCTTTCATTGAGCCAATCCTCTTTCGGTCTGTTGCCTTTTCTTCTGCTTTGCGAGTTAGTCTTTCGACGACTTCTTCGACATCATTTGAGTCAAAAGTCTCCCTCGGTTCGACTTGAGTTTTTCTTTCAATGGCTCGCTGTTTCTTTTCATTCCGGTTCGTGTAGTCAGGCACGTACAGACGATTTACTACTCATCAATTTGTCGTCCTGATGCTTTTTGATATCCCATCTGAAATTCGGGGTTCCTTTCCTTAGGATGTGTTATCGTTCCCCAAGGCTTTTTAGCCATCTTGGAAGTGCAGCAGAGCGAATAAATAAAGATTGCCAAAAGGTTCACTTGATGGTAGTTTGGTCTGGGATTATAACTAAGACATTACCATAGCAACCAACTGTGTCTGATCCAGGGTCATCCTGCAAACAGTCATTGAGTYGCAGGCAATTCAAGCACGAAGGGCTTTGTTTTCATACAATATCATCCTCAAGTTCATTTACAAATGAGCTTGAAGTTTTCAAGACCCACGTCCATCCAACAAATTTAGTAAATACAAAAWAAAGACAAAAACCATTTTTGGAGCAAGAAAAAAATGGAATATTTAGCGCCTAACTAGCAMCTAGTTTAGAAATTGCTATTTCAAAACCTTTTAATCAGAGTAAGCCATTTTATTTCAAGTGAAAATCAATTTGGACAAATGAAAACATACATCCCGCCATGAAGAAGGACTCGGCGGAAGTCACCTCATACGAAGCYATATGAATAAAAATCTCAAGTAAGGTAGTTTATTATTTTAAAATAAACAATATTATTTTTCACCAAATAGGAAAGAGAAAATAGAATTGAATATTGCGAAGAAAATTTATTTAAGATGTTTTTTTTTTCCTCACAAAAAGATTATAAATAAATTAAACTAACTTTCTTAGCTTTTTTAGCGAACCTAGATTTATTTACAATTAATCTTGAAATTAAAGGTAACCTATTTCTATTTCTATTTTCAATATAATTCTCTTGGACGTCGCTCATAATATATGTTGAAATTGTAAGTTAATACTGACATGTCCTGTGTTGCTGGTTTGCAGGGTAGTTGATCCAAGTTGATTCACTGATTTCATTGAAGAAAAGTATGGGGGAAATTGGGCAAAATACCTCCATAACTGTTTGTGATTTCTTACGAGCAAGAAAATACTATAAATAAATCTTAAAAGCAGCACTCAGTGTATACATATATTTCGATGGCATTTTCAGTTGTTGCTGAGTGAACCCTTGCGATTGTAGTCATAGACGTAGTTATTTTATGGGCTTTCTTCCCCACACAAAATGGCTTGATAATTCTTTCCATTCCAGGCATAAGAATTCAATACATTCCCCCACTCTTTCTTATGAAGCCCTGTTCTTGCTCTGTCAGGAGTTTTGGGTACAGTTTCTTCCTTTTTCGACAACCTAGCAACCATAGTTTGGATGCCATCCTTATCTAAGTCTCGTTCGACTTCTGTTTTTTTCTTTCGGCCAAGGTTTCCTCCTCGACTCGGTGGTTTCTTTGGCTGACTCAATCTTTCAACGACGTTTTCGACGTCTTCAGAGCTGAGTTTCTGATACCCAAGACCAAAAGGCGGCTTTTCGATCGTTCCCCAGGGTCTTCTTATATTTATGGGCGCCATTACCTGTTAAAAATGTGACTTGGAGCCGTTAAACTCGAAGTCTTTTTGTCTCTAGGTGTTTTTTCCAACAGCACCTGTGTAATCATACAATATACATCGGCTAGAACGATCTTTAAATGATTTAGAAACACTCCCTGTAAAAGAACTCAGGCAATATCAACAAACACACCTGGCATATATACAGTAATGATGAAAAGGTAAATTATACACCGTGAAAAGATGAAAAAACTTACTGACGTTTCGGACGCTAGTCCTTCGTCGGAGTAAAAGAGAAAGAAGTGGTAGAAAGGAGTGTATATATGATAGAATGAGACAAAAGAAACCAATGAGAGCAAGGTAGGCAAGGAAACAAAAACAAACAATCAAAAGACAAAAGAAAAGGTTAGTTGAAAATAAAGCGTTCATTAATCCCGTTGGGACTAAGAGTGCCCAATAAAAAAATAAAAAAAAACACCGACGCAGCTCACACTAGTTTTTAGCTAGTTATATCTTCTTGGCATATATACAGTTAATTAGCAGCACTTAGAGTCGTGAAGTAACATAGATTGTGTTACAGCTGCCCGCTAATGGAGTGTCACGTAATCCATCGTGTCACGGCAGCAATATCATCTCTCAAAACAGTTTTCCCGATTAGAAAAAGTTGAAAAAATTGTTAAAGAAAAAAAAACGTGCAATTTCTTAAGTTAAAACACATCAGAACGGCCATCATTATGCCTCGACATAGYATAATTTGTCAAAACAATACATGACTCCTATACAGCTAATTAACACACCAAACACTTCATAATTTGATGCTGCACCAATCAACTATTATCAAGACTGGTCAACTAATCCGCACATAGTTTATACAAATCAGTCTGGCAAGAATTCGAGAGTACAACTTCAGTAATTTTGCAGATTTATCTCAAGTAAATCAGGTATTTTTGTAGTTCTTGCAAAGAAACATTGGACACCAAAATGTCCTGGACTCATGCTAACTATATCAAGTACCCAGAGAAGGGCTACAAATCTGGTCACCAAAAATTGCCCAAAGAAAAAGTTGAAGAAGTCGTGGAACGACTCAACGTTAATAAAGTTTACTCGGATTGCAGTGGAACCATGGGAAGAGAAAATCAGAAGAAGTTTACAGAAGGACAGGTGAACCAGTTATTGGAAAGAATTGCAGATAAAGACGTGAACATGCAGAAAACTCCAGAAAGACGAAGAACGGGTGCTGATAACTATTTCAATGCTTGGAAAGCCAACGACATCATCAGTAATATGTGGAAATAAAGGCTAGTAAACATTCCTAAGGCCTGAAAATTTAAATGTGAAATATCCTTTATTATATAGTAATTAGGTTTATGTACAGTGAAGATAAATACCAAGTCCTAGTTGTTCTGTAAAGCCATAGTATCGCTGTCACGCCCAAACTATAAGTCGTTTGCTCAGATAAAGAATTCTGCAGTTTTTATCAGTTTCATGAAAAGTTGACAATCATGCCTTATTTCTTTGGATTCTTTGCTTTACTTTTTCTTGTCCTGATCGCAATAGCCTGGTAGGTCAGTTGAACTGAAAGCTAAGCGGAAACTACGATAAACTAGTACTATTGCAAAACAAAACTTAACTTAATCTCTGCCACTAATTCACTTAGGCTGATAGTGTACATTTTTAAGCATTAGGTTATTGGTCAGGAAATAAAGTTGACGTTTTGACAAAGTGAAATTTATCGGAATACAAAATGCTACCTGCTAGTGGGAAAAAAACAACAAAATATAGTTCATATCTACAACTGTCAGTTGACTTCGATTCTAAGTATTTCATTTGCAAGTATGGCCACTATTCAGCCCTGATTTTGGATTATTGTTATGAGGTCCAGGACCTAAGTAGGCAACCAAAACATTTTGTTCCGATAACAAAAATTAAAGACAAATTTGAAGATGTTTGTTCTTGCAAGAAGTCTGCCTTCACGTAACGTGCATGCACAAAGCATATAAACATCATCAAAAGCATCATTACCAAAGTACTTCGCCTCGAGCACTATACAAACACTGCATCAAAGATAAAGAATTAGCCCCTTCAAAAGCTTCCAAAACACAATAAGAGCGCTCAGCCTGCAGACATGGCAAAACAAAATGGATAAACCTATATTGGCTTATATAATGGTTATTTACAATTCAATTTGTTAATCCTTCACGGTTCCTTGACCCAATCGCAGGAGAATATGGGATACTTCTATTGTAGTCATTGATTATCACTACTGTACAAACAGAGGCGACTCATTAATCCCATTTGAGCTGATAGAGCTATTGATACGTATCATGCAGGAAATGGGGTAAGAAACGCCTAAAGGAGATTTCAAACGAAAAATAATTAAAGTGATTTCGTTACCGCAGGCGAAGATGACTTGAAGGTGGCAAAAAGCACCATTTAACTAAGTGTTCTCCCAGTTTTAAATTTGTCTAAAAACATCGTTTATGCCACAACAAAGCAAAAGTTATTGTTTTCCAAGAGACTTCAATATTAGACTTATCATTTTCCATGCAAGCTGGAGATTAGTAAAGAAAAGTACTAATACCACCCAAGACCATATTTGAAGTCCATTCAAGCATCTTGCAGAACAGACATCGATAAAAGTCACTTACTCATGAAGTTACCGTAAACAAAGATATAACTTGCTTGGCGAAAAAGCTGCAAAAGTTCTTAAAGAGGTTCAAGCAATGTCGTGGATTCAAAGTAATTACATTCAGTATCCTGACTCTAAACTGTCGTTAGGGCATAAGAAAGTTTCTGCTGCAGAGGTTGAAGAAATCGTTGACAGACTCAATGTTGTCAAGAAGACTGAAGAAAGAAAGCTACCCACCACTGGTCCTAAAATAACTAAAGAAGAGATTGAACAAATGGTCGAAAGACTTGCTGACAAGGAAAGAAACTTGGAGAAGACGCCAGAAAGGAATGGAACTGGTGCAGATGAGAAGATGGGAGTCGTGAATACATATGCGTGGGTTAATGGAAGTATTATGAGAAATCGTTTGAAAACTGGTGATGGAAATTTTTATTAAATTCCTAAGAGAGACACCATGTAATGTTTAGTAACGGATGATTGTATGTCCACAAATCATCTTTACTGAGAAAAACTGTAATGACCAACTTGTTTTTAGCTTTAAAAGTTAAAAAATTTAGTTCAGCATTTGGAATGGACAAAAGTTTTCTATAGTTTTTAGGGTGTTCATCACTGACAAAGACTTAAAGTCACTCGGTGTTGCCTAGATTAGATCTGTGAGCAATTCGGCTAAAAAACAGTTTTGACGTTAAACTTGAATAGCCGTCATAATGTTTGTTGAACATGCACTGACTTGTCAACTACGATATTCATAAACTCAGAGGTTTCACTGCGAATGTTTATTTTGGTATTTTGTTTTTTTCCAGTTAAGTGTATTTTTAGCGGCTTTTTAAAACAATTCCTGGGGAAGATTCAAAAGAGTGGTATATATTGCTGTGGAGTTTAAACTTGCCCTGTTCAAAGTAAGAAATTGAAAACGAAATATCTTTACTGAAGCGAGAAAAGTCATACGTTATCTGCAAAAGCAAATAAAAGTGAATGGTAGACTAAAAAGTCTTCATCGACGCATGCGCCTTTCTCTGTTTTGTTTTCGACAGTAGATACTTTCAAAGGAAACCTGTATTGCACCAAGAAAGATGGGCCTAAACTGACCAGAACCAGTTTTGTTAACTATAAAGTCCGTTCAGACTTTACAGACACGTGGCGAAATCTTTCCTCAATGAACCACCAAAATTAAACCAAGGTTTTCTTCTTGAAAGGAGTTCTAATTACATTTACCCCAAGCTTTTTATTCGAATTTACATAGTTTCCTTTTTTCTGGTTGCTACGATGTCTTGCGCTACTTTTCGGCTTCAGACTTCATGCAATAAAGTAAATTTTGTGAATAATTACTGCTGAAGTTGTAATTAAACACTACGGATTTATAAAATAAGAATGTCAGTTTCTCGGTGTTTCATGGAGACTTTCTTGCGACGTGAAAACCGCCAAGTGCGCAAAATGTTAAACTTATACAGAGAAAATCGAGTGTTTTTTAAATTGCAGAAAAAATAACAAAAATAACTCCAATTTCCTTCTCAAGCCCCGTTTACACTGGCGATTTTTGCGGCGATTTTTGCTGCGATTTTTGTGGGAATTTTAGGAAATATGAAATCTTTTGTCTCATCCTTCAAAGGAGACATTCGTCTAGGAAAATCTTGGTATCCTGAAAAAAACTTTACAAGTAAATTCTTTACCATTATTTCTTATGGACAAAATCGCAAAAAATCTTTTTTAACAAATTATTTATGATATAGTCTGAAAACGCCTACGTGAACACAGCTGTGTTTAGCCTTGAGGACAAAGAAAATCCTTAAGACGCCTTCAAGGCCCAACTGCTTCGTCTGATACTGAATTTTTGGACTGCTATTTGTCTTCGGATGTGCCACTTATATCTTTCTGTACTGTATTGTTTCAAGACCTTTTGAACACTCAAAAAGAATTTGTTCTTCGTCATGTTTGGTTAGCTTTGATTTAAGACCAAGGTTAACTATCATTTGGTCGAAATCTGTTTCAATTCTCCTCCAAGAAATTCTAGACAATAGTTCAAAATCAGAAAATGTATTGAACAAATGAACCGTACACATGCATTTGTCGACAATTTCAATGTATCATTTTTAGGGGTAATTTTTGTTTTTTCGTGCTTTTCAATATTCTCTCCGCGGTTATTTATAAGAGCTATCGATCGATGAAAATCTCTGATTTAAAATTTGTGCGTATTTTCTCACCCTTTTCATCTAAAACTTAGCTCATAGTTAGTTTTACTAAATCCAAGTTTGATTCACTTTAATGTAATTATTTTGTTAATAATACAAACTGTAATGATGGCTTCGTTAAACCATTGCAAATACTCACAATTATCAGTAATGATAAAAAGGTAAATTWTACACCGTGAAAAGATGAAAAAACTTACTGACGTTTTGGACGCTAGTTCTTCGTCGGAGTAAAAGAGAAAGGACAAGTTTTTTAATCTGTTCACGGTGTAAAATTTACCCTTTTATTATCATTTCTGTTTCATTAGAAACAACGACGCAGCTCACACTAGTTTTTAGCTAGTTATCTCTTCTTCTCACAATTATCATTTAAGCCAGACTTTTATAATTACATTCATTTTTTCCCCCAAAAATAATTACAAGCTAGAAAGTAAAAATAGGTGTGTGTGTGTGTTTTTTTGTTTTGTTTTTTTTCATGCTTTTTTCATTTCACCATCATGCTTTCGATCATGAGTAGAAAAGGAAGCTCTCACTTTTGGTCTTGAGCGATCGAAAAAGGTTTCCCGTCTAATGATTTATGACCATTGTCCTTTAGTATTTTGGTATTACAAAACTAAAAACATAAATCTGATTTGTTCGTGTTAAAACAAATAAAATTGAGTGAAAATTACTACGTTTTCAAACTCACAGTCTTCAGTAGAGTCGTGAACTTTTTGTTCTGCTGTTTTAATCGTTCAAAGTAAACGAATGCTTCTGTTCAGTTGGATTTCTATTTTAGCAGTTATTTTTAATGTTTTGTTTCGTTGATTAGTTTATTTTGTAAATTTGTATTAATGCCGGAAAGCACGCATTTTGTCCACAAGGCTGAGTTTTCTACATTTCTAGCAAATATATGGTTACTTCGTTAAAAATATGTCCAATTTCTAAACCTAAGATGGCATAAGTGGGGACTAATGTCCAGAAGAGTTTTCAAGTCTTGGATAAAAGCATTACTTTTAACACTCATTCAGCTGTTAATTCTAACCTATGATTCTGAGAAAAAATTCAAGGAAACATCTTGCTTCAAGAAGATCAAATAATCCGGAATTCTGAAGTACGGCTGAATCAATATGTCATACTCTGTCCATCTTGGTAACTTATCGTTCTTTCCCATCGCAAACTCAGTATTTTTAGGCGGATTTTTTTATTAATAGTGCAACAGTTTGCAAGGTCTTATCTTGGTTATACAGATTGTAGATATTTTTACTTTCGTCACGGTAAGAAAAACATGTTAAATGATAATTTCTTTTAGTATAACGAAGTGAATATTGGCAACTTCTCCCACACAACGCGTCACGAGCTGCTGTCGTGACGTCACTGGACTGTGATTGGCTAAAAGCTGCTAAAAATCAATTAGCGTTACCGGGAAAAACTGGTGGCAATCGAGTGACGGATGACCTCTGTTTCTATCCAAATAATCGCCCATGTTAATAATAAATAGTCGGGATCTGCCATCATTTTTCTTCTGATTTTTCTGACTTGGAAAGAGCCGGAAAATCTCTTCTGAGAGGGGATTGGAGAAATGCAATGTTCGGAGTGCCTTCGCTATTTTGGTTTCTAAATCTCGGGGTTTTCCTCTATGCCGTCGCTGTCCAGGCTGGTGAGGAAAAATTCAAGGAAGATGAGAGAATTTTCACGAATGGCTGGGCCATCAAAGTCAACGGAGGTTTAGAAGAAGCAAAAAGGATAGCAAAAGCGCATGGATTTGAAAAAATTGAACCTGTAAGTAGAACCTAAATATATGAAATAATTTCCATGTAAGATAATATGGGGTCTGGGATTTGTAGATGCATATTTTCGTGCTACCAGTAGTTTATGTACTGGTAGATCATTCAATGAATCTTTGGTTTGCTTGTATTCTGTGTTTTGGCCCTTTACATAAGATGGCCACCAATGCCTATAAGGTCATGTTGTCCCAGGTCAAAAAGATCAAGTTAAAGGCGATGAAAAGCTTCCCTCAAACGAATCCTCGCCACTGGATATTATCAGCTTGTTTGAGTACTATAAACTTAAACATTTCTCAGTTAAGAGGAGAGCTGATGTTTTTGACTCCCAGAACGACCACCATGAAATTGTAATTAAATATTATGATGCTTTAGCTTGCTAATCCAGCCACAGGTTTTGAAATCATCCAAACAAAACCAATCATGAATCTGATAATTTGATATTATAATGTTGCAAATTTTTCAAAAAAATATCCATTCTATAGTAAACAAAGTAAACGCCTTTCTCATTTCTTAAATCACGACGACTATTAGCTGCTAGATGCTCAATTATCTTGTTCCCAGCTCAAAACTATTTTTCTACCAAATATTTTTTACTTAATAATATCTATTTTTCACAGGTTTTTTCTTCTTCTTCTTTTGCTGATATAAGATTAAATTTAAGTTTCCACTCCTATTTTTTTTCCACGTTTTGGGCAAAATTTCTAATTTGGAGGATTATCATTTCAGTTATAAAATTAGTTCCCACGATATCGAAATTACAGGTAGTCTAGTGTTCTTTAAATGACAAACAATTCCTAAAACTGAAAACGATAATTTGGGATGGAGTAATATTTCTGTTCCCAGTCAGAGGCGAATTTTTAATATCTCTCCAAGAACTTTTTAAATGTTATTTATATTTTTTTAATACCTACGTTTTTGTTTTTTCAGCGTTAGTTTTGGTTATGTTTAATAGTTAGTCGTGAACTGGTAATGATTCTAAAATCGAGAACTCTACTGACAAAAAGTGAAATCCTAACATAACGGCCATAAATTAAATTCAATTGGTCGTATCAAACTATCCAGTGCTAACCATACAGAATTTAAAATGAAAAATCCCAGCTCTCCTTTCTTTCCTTTTGCCACCATTCTCAGCCTTTAACAAACTGAATTTTAACTKGCTAAATTTTCTAAAATTTACAGTGAGTTGATGTGATAAAGTATATTTGCACATTTATTTAAGATCGAGTCCAAATTACCATGGGCGACCAGAGATGAAGAGGAATATGTCAAATAACGCCAACGTCTTCTTCCTACGTACTCGAGGTTTATTTTATCTTTAGGGCATTTTGATGTACAAATATTAATYGTTCTAATAATTTAAGCTCTAGAAAACTTCTTCAACACTTTTAAAGGGGTTTTTATTCCTGTAAGTGCAATTGTAAAGCTTGACCAAAGTATTGTTTCGCGATCAGTACTTAACTAGCAGACGTCGACAAAAGATCCTTTTGAAAAACAATAGCTACTTATGCTGATACAGGTGAAATTATTTTACCACCATATTCGTATTACTGCATGTTTGGTTCGGATTACTGTAAAATATAATACTTCTTATGATTCAAATCAAAAGAAAAACGATACAGAGAAAGAGGGTTGAACGACCACCACGTAGTCAGGCACAGCAAAAAATACTAATTAGACTTAGTCTGAATTGTACTATTTGTTACTTTAATTAGTTCGCCTCTTCAGTATTAGGTAGAATCTTACCATTGTACAACATATTTTTTTACACAGCCAGTTTTCAGGTTCATATTGTATAACATCTAGTAATATTTTTGGGGGGTTCTTTGACCATACGAGATTTTCGATCTCATGCGCAATCTTGTCTGCACTATTCAATTTTAATCTTCCGATTCTCATTACTTCTTTACTGACGATATCTAGAGTATCCAAAAAATATTGGATGAACTTTGTTATAAAACGACGCCAGAAAGGCTGGAAAAAAGCGTTTACTAAAGCTAATAATCTAACCAAACCAATCCATTCCTAATCTCGATAAGAACACCGCCTTCTTTTCATCTCGGTGTAATGCAGCCAAGGAAATCGCTCGTTAAGATGTTTATTCAGCTTTTTACCGCCAATTAAGCGCTAATTGTCACCGATAATGAGTTTTGACAGACTATTTGGACAGGATGTCGTTCTTTTTCTGCTGTAGTTGGGTTTTAATTACTTGGGATTATATTAGATTTTTTAATTTTCTGGCGTTGCCGGGGAAATTTTATTTTGGAGTGATCGTGTCGAAGGTTTTCCGTTTTGTTTGTTGCTAAGAATCGATATTTATCAGGTACCATCATCATTATCATCACTATCACTATCATCGTCATCATCACCACTATCATTACATACTGCCATCATCATCATCGTTATCATCATCAACGTTATCATCGCCATAATCAACATCATCACCATCATTATCGTTATCATTAACATCATAATCAACATCATCAATATGATCACCACCAACATCATCACCACTATCATTACACTGCCATCATCATCATCCGTCATCATAATCGTTATCACCTTCAACGTCATAATCAACATCATCACCATTATCATCATCAACATCACCATTAACATCATCATCACTATCATCATAATCATCATCATCAACAATATCAGCACTGCGATTACCAATCCTTTTCTTTTACTCTTGGATCTTTCTTCTACTAAGTGCGTTAAAAGCCGATCACATGAATAATATTATAAAGATTAACGATCTTCACTGTTAACTATGCTATCTCAAAGTTGTCTTATCCTTTCTTTCTAAAGCTTGTCTGATCATTCTTTGGAAGATCTTGAGTACAAATGAAATACTAAAAATTAAAAGTGAAATATGCCATCTTGTTTCACAGATAGGAACCCTAGATGGATACTATCATCTCGAACACCCCTCACACCCTCAACGCTCGCGGCGTAGCGCGGAAGACAGAACAGAGCAGTTGCTAGGGACAACAGGAGTGTCCTGGGCTGAGCAACAACATGAGAAGGTCCGAGTCAAAAGAGGTCATTTCCATGACCGTATGGTAGCGAGAGGGATTATACCGAGATTTAAGGATCCATTGTGGGATGCGCAGTGGTACTTGGTAAGATATTTCATCGTTTTCTTTCTTTCCATACTCATTCGGCATCCCTTGCCATACATGAATACATGTGCACCGGTCATGGTATATTAGTGCCAATACTGTTGCCCTTGCATCCACTCTTACTTTCCGTGCTTCATTGTGCCATGTGCAATTTTTCCATACTCAGTCGGCATCCCTTGCCATACATCAGTACATGTGCACCGGTCATGGTATATTAGTGCCAATACTCTTGCCCTTGCACTGATGCACTCTTAGTTTCTGTGCTTCATTGTGCCATGTCTTTACATTTCTTAGGTATCTATCTAGTTATGTATAGTATTTTTTGGCTCGTTTTCTTTATTAACGTTTTATTGTACAGGGGCTCGGTCGCAATGGACCTTTATTACAGGGCGCCATCTTTTTACCCAGGATTTGAACCACGCATAACCTTATCCTGAAGCGCTTGAATGCGAGGCAAGGCGAGTGAAATCTATTGTTCCAAACAACATGGCTGCCGCGTGATGAAGGTCCATTGGGGCGCAAGTTCTGTTCCTTTACACTGCCAAATTCTTAGTTTATTCTTGTCTTTTTTATAAATCATTTGTTAATTGCTAAATTTGTGTATAGTTCCGGCCCCTGTGTAAATGGTGGCGAATTCGTTAAACTACTGAAACTATCAGACCTCAGGAAGTAAGCGACGCGCAATACAAGGCACACAATCTTACTGACACTATTCGATTACCTAGCAGCCACTATCGAATGGAAATTAATTTTAATGTTCTCAAAATGAAATATTAAAGAGTCGCTATGGAAAGCGACAGAGCCTGTGTCATTTGCATTCATCTTCGTCTTCGATACGCAAGATCCATATCAAATGTTGCATAGTTAAGGTTTCTGTAGACAATAATAAGTAACCATGATATTATTTAATTGTAATTCAGGATGACAAACGTAAAGACAAAGATTTAGATATTCATGTTATTCCAGTCTGGAATCAGGGAATTACAGGCAAGGGTGTTGTAGTGACCATATTAGATGATGGTAAGTAATAAGTACCTACGAGTACCTACAATATACGTGATCATGAGTATACGATGCGATATAAGGTAGCTGAAAAATGGCAGTTGTATACGAGAGTGGACAGCGGTATATTCACATAACTGCAGGCGATGCGCTCCACATCATGCTTGAGGGTGGGTGGGAAGGAGGTTTACGCGTGCTCTTGATGTCGTTGGAACGAATGCGTAAAAAGGAAAGAGTTGCGGTAATTTATACATCGCAAGGAATTGTGTCCTGCACAGAGAATATGGACGCGTGATGTTTATTAGATTTTGTTTAAAACGTACTTTTTTTTTTGCAGGAATCGAACATAATCATACAGATTTAATAAGAAATTACGTAAGTATGACATAACTTGCATATGCAGTTAATAGGGAACATTTTTCGTCAAGTATGAAACAGGAAAGCTTATTTTCGTGACATCAAATCGCGTAAAAAAAAAATAAACATACGCCCCTTTGGCGCAAATATGCACACCACAAGAGCGCCTACTTCAAACATTCAATTTTTCTCACTCACAGATTGAGCTGCAATTTATAAGTTTTTTAGGTTTTTGCGGAGGTAGAAAGGGACGTTACAAACTCTATTTACATGTGATGCCGAGTCTAGGAATCAGCCAATATCACTAATATGGAAGATCAATTTATTGAATAGAAATTAATGAACATATATATTTTGTRTTTCGATCTGTCAGGATCCCAATGCAAGCTGGGATGTTAATGGTAGAGATAGTGATCCATTTCCTCGGTACGATCCAACCAACGAAAATAAGTAAGTCATGGTTGCTGGTTCTAACTAGTGACACAAACCGACTCAAGCACAAACACAAAAGCGCAAACCAACGCTAGAAAACAAAATCTTCCGTTCTCTTGCGCTTGCGTCGCATATAATTTTATAGGTATAACATGGAGTTGTGTCACAAGCAAAAACCAGGTTTCACTGCTTAGGATTCTAAAATACGTTTAATTATCAATAGCTTATGCCGTATTGTGAAATGCTCATGTCTCTCCCGTGATCCGAGGATTTTTTTCCTCGGTTCTCAGGTTTTCCTCCCTCCTAAATCAAACAAAATGTCTATGTTTCCGTATACTTGGCCACGTGAACTACCTGATTTCATACTTCTACACAAGTCAATCTTTTACTTAATTGTACCTTAATTGCAAAAAAACAACAACATATCCTTGGTACTAGCCAGCTGTAGTAGCCATAGTCTGCTAGACGAGACAGTTGGCAGAAACTATACTACCTTTTATTACATTTTGTACCCAAAACCTATAAACAATGATCAACCTACGCACACTCTTATTATATTCACACAAAGGCACTAAATAATGTTTCTAAATATGATATCAACTGTTGGATAATATATTGTGATTCACTAGGCATGGTACACGATGTGCTGGAGAGGTTGCATCCCAAGCCAACAATACTAAATGTGGTGTGGGTGTGGCTTATAATGCACGGATAGGAGGTATGTACAAAAAGTATAACAAAGCACCACTCATAAGCCTCCCTGTTCCCTCCCCCCCCCCCCCCCCGACTTTTAAAAACATTACGACAAGGACGAAACATCAGTGTAACATAATATTATCCTAAGCATTATTAGAACTCAATGCTCTTACATAAGTGTCCTAAAAGTCAAAAACAATAAATAAAAATATACAATATCATTGGGATAGGCACCAATGAGATAGATAGATACCAAGAAAAAAAATCAGGATGGGAACAAATAAGTTTTAAGCGCTGATTTAAACGAGCATATCGTACTAGCAGTACTAACGTTGTATGGTAGCGAGTTCCATAACCTAGCAGCAGCTACGTTACTGATATTGTTACTGATGTTGCTATAACTTTTTAAAACTGTGTTTAACGGTTTCTTTCTTATTCACTCGTTTTATATGCATGCACACTAATGTAGTCCCATAAAGTAACCGCTAGTCTATTCATCTTTAGTCCACCTCTAATTTTACCCATTGATTTAACAATTAGGAGTGCGCATGCTGGACGGACGAGTCACTGACAAGGTGGAGGCCGAGTCACTTAGTCTTAATCCACAATACATAGATATCTATAGTGCTAGCTGGGGTCCTAGTGATGACGGTGCCACAGTGGAAGGACCTGGTACTTTAGCAATGGCTGCTTTTCTTAATGGTATCCAAAAGGTATGAAACAAACGCTCTCATTGGTCAATTTAAAACAATAAGTGTGAAACGAACGCTTTCATTGGTCATTACAAAGCGCATGCGCGTACGTTTTTCACTAAACCCAATCCTTAATTTGGATTTTCATTTTTAGGGTCGCGCAGGCCTGGGATCTATTTTTATCTGGGCTTCTGGTAATGGTGGTCGTCATGGTGACAGTTGTAACTGTGATGGATATACTGACAGTATCTATACGTTATCAATCAGTTCTGCCTCAGATCACGGAGAATCTCCTTGGTATTCGGAGAGCTGTTCGTCAACTCTAGCTACAACTTTCAGCAGCGGAGCACACGGCGAGAAAAGAATAGTAATTGATATTTATAGATCGTTATCTCATATAAATCATTAATGATTATAGATAGTAGATCTAGTAATATTTTCTAGCTGCTTTTTTAGTTATTTTCATTTAGAGCTTAATTGATAAAACGCTATACGATACTTTAATAACATTTTTGCCTTTAGGTAACTACAGACCTTCACGACACTTGTACAGAGAAGCATACGGGAACCTCTGCTTCAGCCCCGTTGGCTGCTGGGATTGTTGCTCTTGCACTAGAGAAGAAGTATGTAAGAATTTGACAGCAAATGAACTTATTAGTTATACTCGATGTGATGTTATTAAATATAATTATTTTTCTATTATCTATTAGATTTTACTTGCTTTTAAAATTGACTGAAGATGACGTTAGATACGTCGAAACATACCTTTTCTCGACTTTCACATCCCCATAATCCTTTGCGTCTTTGGGGGGGGGGAAGAGGGTAAAAACCCACTTATTTTGCTGAAGGCTGATCAGACAATGTTGAAAATACCTTGTTTGGTATCCAAAGATAAAATGAAGAAGTAAAAAACAGAAAAAGATAGAAGCTTGGAGACGTTTAAGGTAAATTTTAAACATTTTTTCGTAAGTCAATACATTTTCTGTAAGACCAAAACTCTTGATGATCTGTACACGCAAAAWTWACTTGGAATAAACTGATAATCAGTATTGTACAGATAAAAGCAGGTATAGTATAAACTCAATTAAGAAACCTTTCAATTTGCGACAGTTTTTTGATTGGTTACCCCCAAAGACGCAAGACATTATGGGGATTTGAAAGTAGAGAATTAAAAATTGTTTCTAAAACTATTATTAATTTATTTTTTTTTATTTATATTCATTTTATTTTATTTTATTTTTTATACGCAATGAAATATGCGCATAATAAGACTTTAAATTATCATATATTATGTTTTTATGCATTATAATGAAATATCATATCTACCAATCACTTCCTAACTCCATTTCCTTGTTACAGCCCTAAATTAACATGGAGAGATGTTCAGCACATTGTCGCATGGACGTCAAATTGGCTTCCCTTAAAACATGACCAGGACTGGAGTACCAATGGCGTGGGATTGAAAGTCAATCGCAAGTTTGGCTTTGGTCTTCTTGTAGCAGAGAAGATCGTAAATATGGCCAACCCAGCTACGTTTAAAACTGTACCGGAGAAAAGGCTCTGTCGGGGTCAGATCCATCAGGATGCAAAGTAAGTAATGATGGAGAATGTCAATGGTTTATTATATAGCAAAGAATATATACCGTAAATCTCCGAAAATATTGTTCCAATGAAGTACCTTTTGGATGGGCTTGAATTTTGGAAGGCTCTTTTTTGGCGGGAAATTTGCGTTATTGTGTAAGCATTGGCGTTTAAGCGCTATTAGCAAGAGCATATAGAGCGTTTTCACTCATGTGACAAAGCAGACATATTGGTGTACCAAACAATGGAAACTTTCTGCACAGTTTTTGCATAAAAATAGAGTTCAATTCCCGGAGGATAGAAAATGCCGTGTTGTTTTGGTACTCCAACATGGCCGCTGTGACGTCACGTGAAAACGCTCTATATACGATTGACTGCAACAGACATTTTTTGAGGAGGTGCATTTCTCGATGTTTCTACGTTAATTTTTCTACAGGCCGATTAAATCGGATCAGAGCATAACAGTCCCTCTCCAAGCAAGTGGTTGCACGGGGACTAAGGACGAAGTACGCTACTTAGAACATGTTCAGCTTCTCGTTAGCCTCGATTACACGCGCCGAGGAGACCTGGTGATCTACTTGACGTCACCAATGGGTACCAAGTCGTGCCTGTTGTCTCCAAGGAAAGAGGACATATCTAATGAAGGATTTTCTAAATGGCCGTTTATGACGACACACTCATGGGGAGAGGTAAGGAGAAGGTGCAGTGCAGGTGCAGTGTTTCCAAGCCAGCAGTGCTGACCAAAACGAACTCAAGGTCAACCAATCAGAATTGAGGATTCGACACTGTATTTTTGATTAGCATTTTCCATGATTCTGCCAAGCGAACCCGTGAAATATGAATTCTTAATTCTTAAAATTGATCGTAAATGCTAGTTGAATTCCAGAATTACATTTCAATTCACACGAGAAATCCACACATCGTACCAAAAATAGTCGACCCATGATTCCTCTCAGAGAAGGCGGTTAACTCGGCTGGAGAAATCGAATTCCAATTCAAACTCTATATCTGACGCTGAACCCGATTTAAAAACAAAATGACCTAATTATTCGCAAAATAGTGCGAAAGAAGGTCAAACCTATCGAGATTATCTCCTAAACTAGGATTGAAATTTCAAGTTGATTTTTAAGGAGGGAGAAAAACCGGAGAAAAACCCTCGAAGCAAGGGAAACAATTAACAACAAACTGTARTCACATATGACAGCGAGACCGGGAATAGCACCGAAGTGGCAGTGGTGAACGGCGAGCGCTCTCACGTACCGCTACGCCAACCATGCTTTCCCTAACTCTTGTCAGCAAAAGGTTGTTTCATAGTTTGATAAACTTTGACTTTTATTGAAATGCAGTCAAATTATTTACGTCTATTTTCGCACCAGATCTCTTATTATCTTTTTGACCTTATTTTCTTCAGGACCCTAGAGGATTGTGGACGTTAGAAATCAAAGACTTGGGCGACTCAAAGGCAAGCCATGGTACTCTCCGAGAATGGCAGTTGATATTCCACGGAACAAAAGAAAAACCAAACCATCAAACAATAGAGCATCCCGACAAACCACGTGACCCTGCCCCAGTCCCTCCTAGTCCTAATCTTGGTTACTCAAGCTCAGGTGTCCCAAGTGGACCTACATATGTTTTTGGACCCCAACCACTTCCTAAGAATCCTAGCAGCTATACAACGTATACGTCTGTATCTCCTGCTGTCAAGCCTACTAAACCCCCTGCGCCTTCCACCACCAAGGCACCAAACAAGCCCAAGGCTATCATACCCTTTCCAYCAGCTGCAATACAGTCTCGTCCTCCTTCCTATATGGTAGTAGCTCAAGTCCAACAAGTTAACCCTCAACTACGAGCCCAAATGCAAGCGAGACTCCAAGCACAGAAAATCGCTCAAGCAGAAGCTCAAGCTCGTAATTATCTAGCTCAGAAGAACGCGCTCCAACGTCCTTTACATCTCAGACCAATATATGGTCCCCAGAGACCCCAAATGGACTACGCTCCTAGACCTCCCACCTATTTAGTACCTAATGCAGCTAATTATTATGGACGATATCAATATGGTCCCCATGGGGGACCAAATCTTAATCTGCCGCAAAGTCCCTTCTTAAGGGCCTCGCCTGTAGGTTGGCATAACGCACCTGCGTATCAGAACCCTTTATTTAGACTACAATCTTATAATTATCTGAGGACATTAGGGAGAAGGGGCGTAGTAACGAAGTCCTCTCAAAGACCAAAACATAATAGGCTTAGCAAGCTGCGCAAAAAATGGCGGAAAAAGAGTCATTCGTAGCCTGGAATCATTTCAACTTTTAGTGTACTGGGAAGTGTATGGGGAGAATATGTGTATATGAAATTTGGGATTAAAACAAAGGGTTTTTGAAGAACGTTTGTAGTTGCAATCAATCCCCTTCATACGGCAGAGAAGAGAAGCTACCCAGTTACCATAACAACAGATAATATGGCAAGATTTAGGTAAAAGAAACCGTCGTATTGGTAGCGTAAATCCCTATATATAAGACACAATGTTGGTTGACATGATAAAAGTCATTGTACCATCCAAGACCTGTCCACCAAAATGGCAGCTATGACGTCACATGCACCCCAAGAATTCCGGGCTTACAAGGAATTGACGAGAAAAACTGTAAATAGCATTTGCCTCAATTCTCAATCTGAAAACAGTTCCATACTGTGTAAGGAAAAACATCAACGGAGAGACTACATATACGTCCTTTAAGATAATATTGAAAAGATAGAAACCTGGGGTTTGTGCCTTTTTGTCCTTTGCAATAGACATTTTTCACCGATACGGCGCCATCTTGAATTCTATCGTTTTAAGTAAGTCATTATGGGATACCGAGGGGGCAACTATTAGAAAATTTAGACTGCACAGCTGTCAGGATGTCTTTTTATGTAACTTTGCGCTTTTCAATGACAAGCACGTCTTAAAAAAGCGATCGAATTTGCTGGTACAGTGTAGTTGGAACAATATGCGAAACACCAAGACTTCAAATTATTTGAAAACTTAACCCCGCCACTCTATGCTTTATCATTTTTTCGGCATCCTAAAATTCGAGATGGCCGCCGTATCAATATTAAGGTCTATTCAAATTGTATATGATAATTGGAATAAGAAATGGCCTTATATCCCCTTTTTACATAGTTAAATGTTAATGAGAACTCTTTGAAATTCGAAAAGAAAAACAACACTCGACATGAACAACTACTAGAGTACGAACATACACGTACATTCAAGTCTCGATAACAGCGAGATTAAAAAATTATCTATTAAAAAGATACAAGTGCACTCGCTAATATACTCGAAAACAATAGGATGGCAAAGAATTGCCATATAATTAAATTTAAAAACTGTACTTACTATGAGTACTAGAATGGTACTAGTGCAGAAAAACTCTAATATTACTTATAAACTTCCGAAACTACAATAAGTTCCATCCTATAAATTGACTAGCAAGTCGCACGCACTTCTGTGGTATCAGTACAAACATACTTAGAAATGTGGCTTTTAGCGACCTCCCTTCTTTTGGATTCCCTCAATGAAAACAGCTGCAACTATGATCAATATAGAGGCGACTTCACGAAAAAAGCACGATTTTCGATAACCGATTGCTAAGCTCTCACAAGGGACCAAACAGAGAAAAAACAGAGGTGATCTTAGAAGTGGGATTAAGTTGTGATCGCAGCGGAAATCATAGCTTAAAATAAAGTAAATACAGGTAGCCGGCGTTGCAGTGTCTTCCTTTTTTCTTATCGATCGCTGATGCTCTCTAATAATTCTTTCTTTAATCAAAATACTTTTGTATTTTCCTAAGTAATGGATTTAACATAAACGTTTAACGTCTATTTAGCTTCCTCCTATATTTTTTCTATTGAAATTCAAGCGAAAGAAATTACTTTTTGAAGACGCTGGCGGAGAAATGCCACTGGGAGAAACAAGTGAAGTAGGAAATAAGGGATTATTTATTTTATCTTTCCTTCCTATCTTGATTGTATCGTACCTCGACGTTACTTTCCACTTAATCATAATTCAAGAAAAATAAAATACTTGTCATTAGAAAAAACGAATTGGCATTTAAATGTCTTGCTGTTACCAAAGTTATTCTTTATTGTGCTTCTTTAACTACAATCTACCACTGAATGGCCAAAACGAGTTAGTAGACATGCCAGCAGTTTTCAATTAATAACGAAATTTTTTTAAAAAGGAAAATCAAAGAAAGAAATTATAGATCGTTTCGACTACGTTTTACTTTTAAGAGGTTAAGGCAATAAAAAATCTATAAGCTTCTTAGTTATTGTCAAAACTGCTAAGAAAAGAAAGAGTTCTTTAGACTGTTGGGTTTATTCGTTTCAAACCTCTCCTCTGGATTGCTACGATTATCTTAGTCAGTCAAGCATGAAAAGCGTGAAACCCTGATTACAAAATTACACTGTGTGCACTTATTTTTACTTTTGATATCCACCTATTCTATCTATTTCAAAAAAATGGTTGTCGAAGCCAAAGATACGCTGATAGGCCATTCCAAGACCGCAATGAATTATGGGCATACAAATAACATAAATGATCGAAGCCGTTAAAATCGTTTTCTCGACTACAAACAACACTGACTTTAGAGAGCTCTAGCATCAGGTTTATCGCTAACCGCTAGAGATCAGGCCCAGAAACACACCCTCAAGGAGAAACGCTCAGCATTATTGAAATTCAATATGGCGGCTATTCCAGCAACAACTTCGTTATGACTCCTTGCTAAATGTCGAACGTTTGATGGAAAACGCCTGACTTCGAACACGAGTTTAATTGAGGTTTGCGATGCCTAGCAAGAACGTCATACTAAAGGTTTCTATGTGGTTTTTGTTGTTCCTGTTGTTATTATTTTTTGCAGAACTGAGGTGGTACGTACCATATCAAAATAAAAATCCTTTCTCTTTTTTTCCATATATTGTTTGCAAAACCAGTCGAAACCGGTTTTTCCTAGCAGAAGGTATTCATTTAGACCTTAAGATAAAAGGTTCCTACAAAATTAATTTTAAAACATTGACACTAGCAGGGGTGAATGTGAAGATGGCGACGACAAGTCGCGACGTCTGAATAGAATTAACAATTTGTCGCCCACTTCCAAGATGCTTCGCGAATTTTCTTTCTTATTCAAAGTCGCATTTCTTCATGAGAATAGTAAGACATAGTGGTGCTGATTAACTGAACAAAAGAAAGTGTGGGGTTCTGGTAATTGTATCTAATGACGTAAACATGTAAACGTTCTATTTTTGCAGACGATTTTTTAATGGCTTGTAGAATCTTGGAGGTCGGTTTAATCTCTTGTTTTCTGGTTTCATGTCGTAGAAATAGTCGAACACTATAGTTTGAGGGCGTATTTTGACATATTTTTGACAATAGTTAATCTATGTTTTGACTTAACATCCGCTATACGCCCCTCGTCAGTCAACCGCTTATTTGCCCCCCAGTCAACTCCAAAAAAAGTCATGTTATTGATAGTAAGCAATAGCCTGAATTTTCCCCCCTCATCGATTTTGCTCAGTATTTCAGGAATAAAAATACTTCTACTATCGACAATCTTGGATTATTTTCAAGCAGCTAAACTCTAAAGGATATACAGACTTAATGTAGGTCTAAACATTGTATTTTCGCTTTTCATTTTAAGAGCCGGAAAACTGAGTAGTGGCCAATATCTGTCCTAGGACAGTTTTATCGACAAAAGTATCCAATCTGTAAAATCTTTTTATACAGTGTCACATATCCTTCAGTGTTGTTATGTATCTTCTAAAATAACTAATCATCCTCAAGGGCGGATCCAGTCAAAATCTTAGGGGAAGGGGGTTATTGAGTTTAGGGGGGACTAATTGAGTTTGGGGGGG